AGCTCCAAGTTCTCTGACAGCACTGTCACCTTAAGTAACAGAAGCACATTATCTCTATCTTTATTCAGTAAATAGTTTATTAAGAGCTTACACTCTGTCCTGCCTTCAAATTCCAGGGCAAGCACCTATTTTGGGGGAGGTTTTGCTTTGCCCACTCAGAAATGAGCATCAGCCATGCCCAATGCTGGGAATAGAACAGTGAGCAAGAGGTCATTGGTCTTGTCTTCAAGGAGATCATCATGGTCTGCTGGGGACAAAAGATTGTTCCATTTGTGTGACAACACTTGGGGTTTATGCAACAGTGACTCAGAAGGAGAAAAGCAGCAGACAGTGCTGGGTGAATGCGCTGGCTGTGTTCTGAGAGTGAGAGGCACTTTTCAGATGAGCACCTAGAGGAACATTTCAGAGGTACATGTAAGCATTGTACAAGCTCCATTAAGATCTTGAAGCCACTTGTAGTGGGGCTACTTGAGCTGGATTGTGTAGCACCAGATTCAAACAATTATAAATTCTTAAACAGAAGTTGAGTTCAGTATTATGCCCAGTTGGGGAAAACCTCAGAACACTTGACAGATGAGAGAATGGAGGGAGGTTTCTAGGCCAGATAACTCCAAAGTCATCCCATTAGTTACCAGAGACAGAATTAAGAACTACAACCCCCTGCCCAGAGATATTTCTACCCCTCCTCCTGGAATGACAGAGGAGGTTGGTTTTTCATTTGCTTGATTCGACTTGGGTGGTGGTTTTGTCTCTCCAACACATTCCCCTCTTGATCCCACACCTGGCCGCTGTCCTCAAGATGCCACCAGACAGATCTTCTTTTTCACTGCCATCAGCAAGGGCACCTTGCTGAGCTTATAGTTGGACTAATGCCAGTATATTTGTCACCTCCCTAGCCTGGCGAGCATTCCCTCCTGGCAGAGTTCACCCTGCCTAATTGCTTGTTTTGTATCCCAGCTGCCTGACATATGCCAAACCCATGTGTTGACTTCCTGATTCAGAGATAACTACACCAGGACATTTCAAATTGGCTTTTGTGAGCTCTACCAAGAGTAACTGCAGGGTGTGATTCATGCTTTTCTATAACTTTAGCACCTAACACAGTGCCTGGCTCATAGTAAGGGTCTGATTTTTTTTTTTAAATTAAAGTCAATTTTACTGGGTTCAGGCACGTGACACAATAGAAATAGTAAGGACTTGAAAGTGAGAAGTCCTGGCTTTGAGTGTCAGCTCAACAACCAATTGAGTTCTTTTCTGGGTGACCTTGAGCAAGTCTTTTCTGTCTGATTTTAGTTCCTTGATCATTATTCACTTACCAATCATGGAGCAGTATCCCATGCTTACCCTTTCTCATGAAGATGAGGTCCCAGTCCTCTCTAGCTCACGTGTCAGCACTTTATAAATGTGGATGCCATAATCATATGACAATCACAGTAATAGAGAGACACTGATAAATATAGAGAAGTCCAGAGGAGAAGGTGATTAATTGTGCCAGGAAGACTTGGTGACAGCTTTACTGAGGTGATGACAGTGTAGAAGGGACTCTAAGATCCAGGGAAAATAATACTCCAAAACTCCATTATACCAAAACAGTGATCCAGGAAAATAAAATGTATCAAATACGGGACTGCTGATAAGAGGACCATCTGAGCTAGCTGGAAAGCTAAGGTGATGACGGTGATTTGAACCCCACATCAGTGGTTTCTCACCAATGTGGTCTTCCATTATTGAATTTCACATTCAAAGCAGCAGCTGTAGCTTAGCCACATCCCCGGCACCAAGCACGTACCTGACACTTACTGCAGGGACAAAGTCCCAAAGGTAGAGCAGCTCACAAAAGTAGATTATTAAATGTTTAGAAACCCTGGAAGTTGGTTTCCAAACACAGCCACTACTAAAATTTAAATTATATAAAGTTAAATAAATGACCTTAAAAGCTCATAAATACTCAAATGTATCACTTCTTAAATATTTCACTGTACTTTGTAATTTGCTTTTGGAGTTATGGAGTTGTTGAATCTCTGTGGTAGAAGTACTATAGAATAGCATCCTGTGGTGCATCTCTTCCCAGTTCTGTTCAGTTGTGTTTGTGGGTAACTTGAAATCAGCCATGATGGGAGTATTCATACCACAGCAATGAGCAAGTGCTATAAATTATAGCTGGATTTTTTTTTTAAAGTCTGTTGTTAGACACTAATACACCACTGCTGGCGTCCACTGAAAATGCAGAGGGAGAAAGCAAGCATTGAGAATCCTAACACTCACGCCTTTGCAAACCCCCTTAAACAGAAAACATGTGTCATGAGACATTTCAGAGGCCTCCACAGAGTTGACTTTCCCATCTCCTTTGTTTTAGGAAAGACTTTATGTTAAACTGAATTTTCTTGACAACTGAAAAGAATGGTCAAATGGAAGGCAGATAGAAGTGTTTTTATCCAGGACTTGATTTCTGAGCCAAATGCCTATTTTGGCATGAGAACTCTATGGCCTGGAGGGGTACAGGGAGTCAACTTAATTTTCTCCAGGATCCAAAAGCAATCCACAGGAGCCTGGGCTAAAATTACATCTGCTGGCTTGCCAAATCAGAGGCTACATGATAGCCAAATGGCACTGATTTAAGGTTCACCAATTTCCAGGAAATCCCCAAAGAGAGATAAATCAGAGAAAGCTGGCCTGCATGTGCATGAGGGGCAGCAGCCAGGGCAGCCCCCAAAGGGAAACCGTCCCCAGAGGGCTGGTTATTGTCTAGGCAGAATCCAAAGGTATACGTGTGGGGAGAAGGCTGGATAGTAGCCAGCATCAAGGGATGAGATCTGTTAGTAATTCTCTAGAAGGACAAAGTTTCAGCAATAAGAAATTCAATTGTCCTCCATTAAAGAAAGCATCTCTCAGTACCAGTTGAATACAATTGATGGAATAAATCTTTCCCATTAGCGGAGAGATAATTTCACATAAATATATTGGGAGACCTTCAGAGCAGGACTGAAAGTCTGCTGAGCCTCTCCTGCTTCACTTGTTTGCCATGTAATTGCATTTAGACCAAGGGCCTCGGAAGGAAACCACTGACTGAATTAACATTAACCAGATTGCGTGGCATGGAGCGGGGTGGGGGGTGGCACGCTCGGTGCATTGTGGGTAGTTGCTCTTGCCTTCAGAAAGGACAAGCTGACACTAGTGAGACCAGCTGCTTGCAAGCCTGGTGTTAATTGTTTTCCTCATCAAACAGAGAAAAGTTTATCACTCTGGTGAGGTTGGGATGTGGGTACCTAATAAAGCAGGGACTGGGTTTGTGTTTTTTTTTTTCATGAATGCCCCTGGGCTCAACAGTAGCTTTTCCCTAGACCAGGAATTTAAAAACCTTCTGAAACCAGGGGAGTGGAGAGAGTTGCATGGGCAGCAACACCTGCCCGAGATTTTTCTTGTCAGGGAGGACTATATCTTCATCATCCTATGTTGACACCAGCCAGCACTGTCATTCCCACCTATCACTCATAGTAAACAGACTGCTCTAGCATTATAAAATTATAGACTCAGAGTCAAGCCTGATTCAGCCACCACTGTCCTACGTGGCTTTGGGCCAATAACATAACCTCCAAGTTTCCTCCTCTGCAAAATGAGAGGGTTCCACTAGCTCAGTGACTTTTTTGCCTTCTACAGAGACTAAGGCCCCACAGAGCTGCCTTCAGAGCAGCCCAAGACAGAAAAAGTCTTTACCTCTGCTACATGTAGGGCAGATCTTCTTCTGGTTTGTTTTCCACTCTGGGGTTCTCATATAAAAGCTCATCTCTAAAAAGATTCTGTTTCTGAAATATGTGGAAAGCCATTATTCTAGATGATCTCTAATTGCACCATTTACCTGATCAGTTGCCCCAACGTGTTTTTAACTGTGACCTAGTACTTGTGAGACATAGTCCAGGCAATGTGGAAAGGGTGAAACCTTGGCCCTCCCCTCAGAAGGCTGGTCTAGTGGAGAGAAGAGGTCACCGTTTTATGAGATATCAAGGTGTTGGTGTCCGACTTTGAGGGGCAGAGGGACTAGTCCAATTAGGGGCATCATGAAGGACTTGAGTGAAGAGGTATCCTTTGAAGTGGGTCTTGTTGGCAGGCTATGGGAATGACATTTGAGGCAGGTGGAAAACACTGCCCAGATTCAAGGCACTGTGCAGCGCTCATCTGGCAAGTTTGGGAAAAGCACATGGTTTGAGGAAGTGTGGGGGCACAGGGTTTTGGGAGATGCTAGCATCTGCCCTTCCTGTCTCTAATGCCAGATGAGAGGAATCACACTCCGTCCCTCTCCCTGTCTTGTATGTTCTCTTCTAATGACTCAGTTAGTGACAGTAATAGCTATTGTGACCTATAGAGCCATCTTTATGCCAGGGAGAAAACAACCAGAGATTCAAAAAACCATTGTGTATCTGTACAAGTGCAGAGAACTAGGAAACTGCAGGGCTGGACTTGAGCCCGAGGCACTGACTCCAAATCTACACACATCACTACAGCGTATTGCCCTCTAGGATCAGCTTTATTTCCTTACAGCTTGATATGATATCCTCAGAAAAATAACCACTGAGTGAAATACTTGAGAACGCTTCCCAAGGACAGTTGTTTCAGGGACACTTTGATGCCTTAAACTGAGGTGATAGTTTTTGTTTGTTGCGAACTGGAGTTTGAACCTTCACACTGAGTACATTCTCAGCCCTACTTATTTATTTACTTATATTTTTTTAGATTTTGAGACAAGGTCTCACTAAGTTGCCAAGGTAAGCTTGAACTTGTGATCCTCCTGCCTCAGCCTCCCAGCCTGGGATTGCAGGCATGCACCACCACCCCCAGCTTAAGATGATATTTTTTAAAATCAATTGTTCATCTGGAGTGAGCAACATGAGCCTCTAGGAATAATATGTGTCTGAGTGACCAGTCTCCTATTCTAGGGCTCCTTTGCTGACCCGGGCTCTGACCATGAATGGCACATGATGATATTCTCTCTTCTCTTCCCATAGGCATGCGTGTGTCATTCGTGGTCAAGTGATGACTTCAGATGGGACCCCACTGGTTGGTGTGAACATCAGCTTCATCAACAACCCTCTCTTTGGGTACACAGTCAGCAGGCAAGATGGGAGGTAGGAGACTTTACGGGCCGGAAATCAGATGCCAGCTCTGTGGTTCACTAGTGGTATGACCTTGTCTGACTCTGGCCTAGGTCCCTTTGGCCAAGTTACCCTGCCCCGTGACTTGTAGGAAGCACTGTCGTGCAGACTGCATTCTGCAGACTAGATGGCTCCAGAAACCTCAGCTGTTCCTGTTGTGTGGTTTCCATTCTGCAACTGCATAGGTCATTGGAAGCAATGTGGGTAGTAACAGAATTCTGAACTTTTAATTCTTCTGAGAATCATCGGTAGAATGAAGCACAGTGGTGCACATTGGCTGACAAACTTCACTCTTTCCGATATTCTGGCCATAACCAAATTGGACAAGCCCCAGACCAAATTTCCCCATTCAGTCAGCATCGCGTTTGACTTGGTTCTCATCCAGTCAAGTTTGCAACCTGCATGCTGGAAAGAATGAACTTTTTGACCAAGGTACTACTGTACTGTGTCACTGAGCTATATCCCCAGCCCATAATAGGTGTTTAATAAATCCTAGTTCCCTATCCCGCTTGGATTCATTGCTATATTTTTGGGGTCTGGCACCCAGTAAATGTGTAGTAAATATCAGTTATTTACTAAAATTGCAAATTATGAAAAACTGAGGAGATGGTTGTGGGGCAGGCATTGAGAGTATTAGGAATAAAAAAGAAGTCGAATATTTAGGCTGTTGGTGCTGACAAGTCCTCTATTTTTAATAAAATCAGGTGGTGGCAGTCCATCTGGCTAAGTGCGGGCCCATAAGGTTATTTTTCACTCTGTGTTGGAAATTACGCTCCAGGCTGATTGATTTTAGCACCTCTTTAATCCAATATCAGATGTGAACATATCCCAGCCGAGGTGATAATGAAGTAAAAGCTCGTCTGTTTGTAGACATGTGTGCCTTCTAGACGGGGTTGGCAAGCTCAGCATGGGGAGCCCTAGCCTCTATGTGAATGGGAAGGACCCAGCTGGGAGAGACTGGGACCTTTGCACCAAGGGTACACTGGCCAGACCGGGCCACTGCTCCCTGTCCTGCACACCTGCTGACCCAGGAGACGCCTCAGTGCAGACCCCTATGAGAGAATCTCCTATGAAAGAATCTCCTCCGTTATGCTGTCTCTACAGCCTTCCCATTTGGGACTGTTTGGCTTATACAAATGGACCTATAAGCAGCCTAGGCAACAGGTGTCCCAACTACATTATTACCTGCCGGGAAACCATCCTCAGAAAGAAACCTTTAGAACTGCTCTTTTTGTCATGAAATTTCCCCCTCCCTCATATGTGATGGCAAATTATCAAACCTTGGCCCTGCTGAGCTTGGTTGATATAGGTCTATAAAATACACAGAGCCTGGTGTAAGTGTGGTCTTCCTTGGGAAAAGCTCACTGTCTTGTACCTCCAGGCCTTTATTCTTCCTGTTTGTACCACCCCTGCAGTCTCTCCCTGCCTGGAGAGCATGGAGGCCCCTGGGAGCAGTGTTTCCTCCATCTGCCTCCTAAGTTAAGGCCAAATAGCCAGGATGGCTACCGTGTAGAGTTTGTGCCTCAACTCATTTCTTACCAATGCATTGTGGGGTTTACATTTTTTTCTCAATGTAGACACAGACAATTGTAGACAAGTTGTAACTTGTGCCAATACCATATGACACTCTTGTTTATCTGTGAACAGGGAGCATTTTTACTCTCTCCTTCCACCGTTCCTTGACCCTTTTCTTTCCTCTCTTCTCTGGGAGATAACATAAGGTGAGAGATATAGTCTGAGATAGGAACATATGCGATCATACTGTGAGCCCAGGGACTGTAACCTTTGCTTTCCATATAGACACCATTACACCCTAACCAGCTCCCCAGCCCCTACACACACACACACACACACACACACACGCACGCACACACATACACACAACACTGAAATAAACAGACTTTAAGCCTTAAACAGAAGGAGCTCATAAACAGAAAACAGTAACAGAGAAGTTAGCCAAAGAACTTGTTAAAAAGTCCGAAAATAGAAGTCATTAAGAAAAAACTAAAAGAATAGCAGACAAGAGAAACAGTTCAGGCTCATTGAATTGAAAAATGGGATTATACAGAGCATGACGCCCAGGGAATGTGTGGGGCCCTATGCTTTTCCCATCCATCACCCATCTAATTACTAACCTTGCCAAGTGATTATGATTGTCAGCTTCATTTTACAGATGAGGGGGAGAAAAAAAACAGGTGAGTTACAGATGAGGAAATCGAGGCTTGGAAAAGTGATATACCTGCGGAGTAAGTAGCTGTGCTCCAACCAGCACTAAGCGCTTTGGTTTTCTCTGAGAACCCAGCCTTCCCTTTGGGGTCAGATTCACATTCATATCCACAACAAGGTCTCCCTGCCAGATGAGCAGGCCTGGCCCTGGCCCATTGCTCTCAGCTCTTGGCAAGACCAGCTGCCCCCAGTCTGCTCACAGCCTTGAGAATATGTCTTTTCATGTTTGCCTTCCCTCCCTTCCCACACTCAGCCTCTCATACAGGGAGCTTGTTGTGAGTCTGGCCAAAATTCTGTTTGATAGTTAAAAATGTTCTGTCAAAGCACAGATGCTATTAGTTCTGTGACAGAAAAGTGGTTCTTTGAGTGTTTCCCCCAAACCATGGATAGTCTTCTGAACTTTTGATCTAAAATAAATAGTGTTGCCCTGGTGTTTTCCTACATTGTTTATTGAAGGATAGTGGTACCTGGTTTCTTCATCCCAAGGGTGGCACAGAAAGGGCTGAGTGAGGGTCAAGAAGTTCCTAAAGGTAAGAAGTTCCTAAAGAGGACAGAAGAGTCAGTCTTTAGAGCTGGTGCACCGAAATCTGGGAGGAACCATCTATCAAGAGCAGGATTTGGCACTAGATGGACAGTTAAATATAAAATCCTTGCAGCCCTACAGAAAGGAAGAGCAAGCTGCAGCAGGGGGCCACTGGTCCCCCAAGGTAGATTCATCAGAGGGAATGAGATCCTGCACTAAGGTCTCTCAGACCAGTTGCAGGCAAACGCTGCATGGGCTTGCAACATCAGCCACACGAAGAAAGGAGTTGGAATATTCAGTGGACAGTAAGTTCAAAAGTAGTTGGGAGTGTTGCTCATGCATTCATCCTATTAATTTTTAACTGTCAAGCCATCAAGCACTCAGCTTGGCCCTAGATTGGCAGGGGAATCAATGTCCCTGGCCCAAGAGCTAAATGAGCAGAGTAATGTGAGGTGGACTCTAAAAAGGAATGGACATGCTGCGTGGAAGCTGGGCTGGGGGCTGGAGTTCTGGTGGGGTACGGCTGTGTGGGAGGTGATGTTTGAACTGTTCAAAAAAAAAACAAGATGAGGGGCGGGGGATTTAGCTCAGTGGCTCCGCTGCCTGCCTCACCAGCACAAGGACCCAAGTTTGATCCCGGTACCAAAAAAAAAATTATAAAAAACAAGATGAGGGCAGACCTTAGATATGTACCCTAAAAGTAATCACTAAAAGGACTTTGTCCAAAGAGACACTATATGCAGGGGATAGCAGGTGCACCCCACTGTTTCTAGGTCTTTCAAGGATGACATAGGGCAGAAGGAAGAGACCAGTCTGAAGTCCTCTCAGTAGGTACAGCCAGGCCCAGTGGAAACAGAACTAGGAGGAGGGAGAACCCAAGCACAATTCCAAATTTCTATGGAATATCTTGACAAGTCATAACTAGCTGAAGATAGGCCATTGTTCCTGTGGATATAGCAAGATCCTTATCACTGGAAGTGAGTAAATAGGAACTAAATGATCCTTTGATGGTGATTCTGTAAAAGGGACTAGAGCATCATATTGGGAAGGGAGGTTATGGCAAATGACTAATAGGTACCCTTCCTATAGTTCAGCTGTTACTTGATTTTATGAAACTGTCTTAGTAGGGAAAAGGACAAAAAATTCTAGTGTGAGATCTTTTGCATACTAACACGGGATGTTAGACACAGCCAGACACTCTACTTGGCTAAGCAGCCTGCCCTACGGGGTTAGTGAGTGTCCTTGATTTATGCCTGGGCTTCCTTTCCCTTTGTCCATAACCTGAGCTCAGTAGCCTCTGAGCATGTGGCTGTGGAACCACAGATCAGGCTCCCTTGGGAGTGGGGCACTGTCAGAAACACTGAGGCATACAAATGTGGACTCACTTGCCTTGGATTTTCAACAATAAAGGGTCCATGCCAAGGTTTGGAAGGACAAGTGCCTTGCTTTGGTTTGTGTGCAGGTGATGGCAGTTAATGAGAGTTCAGATCCCAGAACCCAGCAAGCTACCAGCATTTTTCTGGCTGGGTCTTGTTTGATGAGTACAAAATGTTTTGGGGGTAGTGTGGCCAAATGTATCTAAAAGTGTACCTTGCTTTAGTATAATCCTCTTATGTGTCTTACATGTTCTTTGGCCTATTAGTCTGGCTGTTAATCTGCATTTATGATCATTAACTTGGTAAAGACATAAGAGAAATAAATAAATCTGATGCTGGCAAAAAAAAAAAAAGAAAAAATGTTTAAAAGAAATAAACAGGGTTTGAACGGAAGTAGAGCAAAAAAAGAATTGAGATGTGTTATGGACATGTACCAGTTCCTCACAGTGAATGTAATCATTATGTACTGCAGTGGTGCACTAATAAAAAATATATTATTAAGCCAAAAAAGATAATGGGAGGTGAAATGAGAAAGATTCTGCCTGTAACATCCCCCGCAAGTCTGGAATAGGAGAGGCCCAGGAGAAGGAGAGGGGAATCACCTAAGGGGAAGGGCCTGGAGACACAGGCCTGTTTGGTGGTAGAGGACAGAACCAGGCCTAGGATGCCGTCCATCCACAGAGCATTGTGAAGAGAGGCCAGGTCCCAGCGCTCAGCCCTGTCTCAGTGACCTCATCTCACCTGGATGGTTGATGCTCTGTCTTCTTATTCCCCTTTCCCTTGTAAGATACTATACTATGATTCTAATTGTGCTGTCTCTAAACAGCACAGGTATTTTGTGATTGCAAAGGCTTTTGTTGAGCAATCAACATGATGAGAACCAAAATTACAGTAGTCCTAGATTCTGAGTGAATTAAGAACAATCCACTCTAACTTTTGCATTTTACAGATGAGAAAAGTGAGGATCAGAAATGCTATGACCACAGTTAATGACAGAAACAGGATTAGGCCTAGGGTTCCTGATACCCAGGTCAAAGCATTTTCTGCTTTATTACAGCGACTTTGCCGGGCTTCAGCTTGACACAGTTTAGAAACCCGTTGTACCAGGAGCACAACAGCAGCCAGGTAGCAGCTATCCTGTGCCCTGGAAAGTGGCCCTCTGTTGCAGTGATTAATTTGGCTTCAATAAATTCTCTATGGTGAATCATTTGACAACAACAGATGCTTTCTGGACTCACTGCCCCTGTTTGTGGGCACAGTTGAGTCTCTAAGTCAGTGGTGGCGAACCTTTTAGAAACCAGGTTCCAAACTGCTACCCCAAACCCACTTATTTATTACCACTTATTTACCAATGCTGCAGTTTAACCTGAACACTGAGGTTGTAGCTTAGAAAAAACTAATTCTATACTAACATCTTTAGTCTTAAAAGAAAAATACAATAAAACACATACCATAGGTTCACCACCACTGCTCGAGGTGTTGGGGCCTCCCTCACTACGTGCTCATATGCTTTGTATGATTTTCTCTCCTGTCTCTTTCTCCTCCTCCTCATCATCCTGCTTTCTCTGCTACTCCCTGCTCCCTCAGCTTTGACTTGGTCACAAATGGCGGCATCTCCATCATCCTGAGGTTCGAGCGGGCACCTTTCATCACACAGGAGCACACCCTCTGGCTACCCTGGGATCGTTTCTTTGTCATGGAAACCATTGTCATGAGGCATGAGGAGAACGAGATTCCCAGCTGTGACCTGAGCAACTTCGCTCGCCCCAACCCTGTCGTGTCTCCATCCCCACTGACGTCCTTCGCCAGCTCCTGTGCAGAGAAAGGTCCTATCGTTCCAGAAATTCAGGTACCTAACTGCATTTTGCCATGCTTTTGTTTCATTTTGGGAATGGTGTTGGACCTCAGAAATGGTAGAAAGAAGAAAGCACCCTATTATCAGTCCATCTTGCAGAATCCAGCTGCCAAATCCTACAGCAGGCACGGTGTCAGGACATGAGGGCTACTGTCCTGTGTGCTGAAAACACATGAAGTGGGTTAACCTGCCTGGCACACTAGGGCTTGTAGTCAAGTCCCCCCAAACACACTCTGTCATTTAGCTCACTTCTACTCTCCTTTTCCACAGCCTCCAGGGTGTTCCCCCTCTCAATATTTCCATTAAAGTGTTTATAATAATAGGTTCTACCAAGAGGAATAAGCCACAGGATCCCAAATAGTGAACATTATAATAAAGATTAAATGAGGAAAATGTACATGAGCTACTTAGCACAATGTCAGACACCTAGTAAGTGCTCGATATATTTTAGCTATTATTATTATTATTATGAAAATTATTTAATACATGCTGCCTTCATGCCAATTAAGAATTACTTTGGCGCAAATCTATACACACAAGTGTTTTACTTAATTGTCATTAAAGGGAAGTAATTGGGAAAGATGCATTTTAATCTGATGGAAATCAAGATAGATTCTTTGCCTAACAAAGGCCCACCAAGTTGCATGTCCTCTGTCATCCCCAACCTGATTTCTAAGGGCAGAGAGGAAGGCCTGGGGAAGGTGAGAGATGGCAAAGCAGAATCCCCCCACCCCCTGTCACTTTCCCTGCCTAATGGGAACTTGGGTGATGTGCATGTTAATGGATTGCCCAGGTGCCAGTGGAGCAGAGTTTATACATTTATGTGTGTGTATTTCATGCCTGGCTGAGCAAACACATCTCTCTGCGTGTGCCCTGTTGCATGGCTTCCAACACTAACCCATAGGAAGGAAATACAACCATTTTGCAATTCTTATTGCACTCACAGGTTGAAAGTACACACCTTTTCAGAGATTCAACACCTGTCTCCTGTCTGAACAACCAGGCTGACCTTTCTTATGAAATGGTTGTCAGCGGAGATAGAACTTGCTGGAGAGAACTAATTTGTTACTCAACCCTGCCTTAGCTCCAGCTAGACATTTTTCCCCAAGAGCAGGGACTTTGGAACAAATGAGGTTCAAGGTTACACCTCTTTACAGTGCTCCCAGAGCTGGGTGGCTATAGGTCCAGTTGGGGCACCAACCTTGCTTATTGTCACACTCAAAAAATACACAAAAACAAACATTTTGGTTTTCCCAGGCCTATCATTGGCTAACCTGGGAAATAGAAAGCATGAAGAGAAATATTCATAAGAGCATCAGGATCATACCTGAGGCCTGCCTATGGTTCACCAGGGGTACAGGCTGCATATCCTAGAACTTGTAATCTGTGGTTTCAGAAGATGGCCTTGGTTTTCCTATGTTCAGGAGAGCAGGATAGGGTGAAGGTTCATACCCTTCTGTGAAATGGACAGAATAAAAAAGTCCAAGTTCTTCTGTGAGCACAAGGTAAAATAATCATTGCCCTTGGATGAAGCAATTAACTTCATGGTCTCTTCTTGAAAGAGAACCCACAGCACCAAGCTGATGAAATTCTCTGCTGTTGCCATATGCCTGATCATCTGGCATTCACTGACTCTTTAGGTCTTGGGTCTGAGCCCACCATACCCAGCAGGTAAAGCTCTTCCTTCCCCACCCGACAGGGTTCAACTGATAGGGCACTTGAGTGGGGACCTAATGTGCACCAAAACTCCATGCTGCCAAGTTGGCCTCTCTGGGCTGAGTGGGATCATTGGAGCAGGTCTCTGACGGGCTGTGCTGTCAACTGTGCCTGATAATTGGTTTGGCAAACCTTGTATAGTCTGTTTACTTCCCTGGAAAGGATTGCTACTGGAGATAGATCTTCCTTTAGCAAAGGTTCAAGAGTGAAGCCATCCTTCTTCTTCCTAGCACCTCCTGTTTCCAGCACTGTCAGCACCTGCAGGATCTAATATCCTAATAGCATCAACGTGCCAGGCACTTCTCACATGTAACCTCCTTCCACCCTGTGCTCATCCAGTGAGGAAAACTGGGATGCAGAGGTCCCTAAGTTTTGGTTCTTTTTTTTTTAGAACAACACAGTAAATTGGAGTTGGCATGCCACTAAATATCTGATATGCATTATCCTATGTGTTTCTGCCAGTTGCATAGAAAAGTGGTTATTATCATGCTTGTTACACAGAGAAGGAGCCTAAGGCTCATGGAGGCCATGTGGCCTTTGCCAGGCTTTACCGCATAAGAGTTGGCCCCAAAACCAAGTCTACTGCTTTGTTTTCCTTCTCCCTCAGTCCCTTTTCTCCTTTCTCATCCTTTGTTCCCCTTCATCCTCATCTTCTTTTTATCCCCCTCTTCTTTTTATTCTTCCTCTTCCCCCATCTTACCTCTTCTCCTCTGCTTTGTCCTCTGCCTCTTGCAAACCCAGTCTTGCGGCCATGGCCATCTGCCCTACCCTGCGTGACTCATCGGCCATCCCTTGTGCTCTGTCTCTTCTCCAGGCTCTGCAGGAGGAAATTGCCATCTCTGGCTGCAAGATAAGGCTGAACTACCTGAGCAGCCGCACCCCAGGCTACAAATCCGTCCTGAGGATCAGTCTCACCCACCCTACTATTCCCTTCAACCTCATGAAGGTCCACCTCATGGTGGCAGTTGAGGGCCGCCTCTTCCGGAAGTGGTTTGCTGCAGCACCAGAACTATCCTATTATTTCATCTGGGACAAGACAGATGTCTATAACCAGAAGGTGTTTGGGCTCTCTGAAGCCTTTGGTAAGCCTCTGCACCATAGAACACAGTGCTATCCTCAGAGAACGAGTACCTGGGGGAAGAGAATCTTTCCACCTCCCTGGCTACCTCTTCCCCCTTTCTCCTCTCAGATCAAAAATACCTCAAGCTTAATTGGCCTGAAAGACCTCTGAATGGCCTTCTAGGACCTGAAAGAATGGCTGGAAAGACCTGAATGTGGGAAATTTGACCATTAAAAATGGCTACAAAACCAAATGGCCCTTAGAAAACACTGTGGTGGTATGTGACAAGCTAAGGGATGCTATAAGCAAAAAAGGTAGAATCTGTGGATGTTGGCTGGCCATGCCACAGACATCCTGCCTAACCTGACACATTAAAATAGAGGAGCTAAAAATCCAAGATTCTTTCATCATTGTGAGGTATAGAAGCTAAAATACTCCCTTCGTCCAAAGTGCATTTTAGACCTCACGATCTTATTTCCTATCAGAGAAGTTGTCTCTGTTGTTCTTGCTGTGTCCTTCGTGGAGATGAAGCCAAAACTGAAGATAGCTTCCCCCCATCTCACTGAGACCTTGAGTTTCTGGGGCTGGCTGTACTCCTTCCAACTTCTGTAGCAGAACGTGGTCCCCACAAAAGGTACAGAGCTGGACATTAGCAGTCTTGACCCCTGTATGGCGAATCCACCAGGAACTTAATAATAGCACAGCACATAGCCACATCTTGAACCCTACTGCCATGCCATTTTCTTTGCTAGCGAAGGCAGAATGAGGGAGAGAGAAGTAAATTTGTTTTTAGAAAGGAAGAAAAGGAGGGAAGGAAGGAAAGAGGTAGAAAGACTAGGTGGGAAGGGAAGGAAATAAGAGCCTGTCCCTTGAGTACCTGCTGTGGGCGATGTGCTCTTCTGTACTTTTATAACTCCATGAAAGCTTACAACCACCTTTGTAAGGAATCCTTATTCCTAAATTCTGTGTGAGGCCCAGAGAAGTGAGATGGTTTCCCATGATACACAACTGATAGCTACCCTTATCCCGGTCTTCGTGGTAGGTCGCATCCTTATCCTCATGGCACACTGGAAACAAGTTGCCATCTGTCACTGTTCAAGCTCCTTCTATAGAACGAATCATATCTGTAAGTGAAAGGGTTACAGTTTCTATGGGTGAAATATTTAGTGCCCACCAGTGAGTTAAAAGGGAAAAGTCCACACGATAAAATGTCGGGGCTGAGATCACAAATGACCAGAAGGAGACATAGTGACTGCTAGCAGGACTCAGGTCGTGAGTAAGAGGGCACAGTCACAACTTCCAGCCTACCTCTTGCTATAGATGCTTAGTCTACATCACCTACAAGAAACTAAGATTTCTACTTGGGTACCAGAACTAGTGAAATGCCAACACAGCAATGCTGAACCTTAGAAACTTTTTTTTAAAAGAGCAATTATACATTATTGTGAAACATTAAATGTACTAAATGCATTTATTACAGCTGTTTATTTCTCCTTCTAACATGTGGTAGGATATTGCCCAGTGCAAAATGGCACCCACACCCAGAGATACTAGAAATGAGTGGTGTGCCTGTCTCTCCTGATCACCTCCCATGTCAATTACAGGGCTTTCATAACCCTGGGCTCAGAGAACCTGAATCCCAGTGAACTCCTGAGGAGCTGGATTTATAAAACAAAAGAAACCAAGAAATCTTCAAGCTTCAAAAACTCAAAACAGCTTCCTGCTTTAAAATTACTAATTATAAGGCCAGGGATTTAGCTCTGTGGTTCTGCCACCTGCCTCACAAGGGCAAGGTCCCAAGTGCGATCCCTGGTACCAAAAAAAAATGTACTCATTATAAATGAGTGTGGACTTCTTTCTTCACAAAAGCAATCTTACATTCAGTTATAAAAATTTGAGAAAAGGACAAAAGAAAAAAAGGTCATGTGATCCTATGACAAATACAACTATTTGCTGATTTTTTTAATGTGGAAGTTTGGAGGGGTTGCATGTTTTGTTTTATTTAGCACAGATAAATTACTGAACATAACCAGTCTTTTCAACTGAGTTTTAGTACAAGAGCACTTCCCACATCACCACATGGTCTTCACAGCCATAATTTTCAGTGGCTGCATAATATTCCTGGATTGGACATGATTAGGTTTACTTAATCACTCATCTTTTTGAACCTTTGGATAAATTCTAATTTTCCACTATTGTAAATAATGCTATAGTGAAGACTTCTGCATAAAGTATTTCACATATTAAAGATTACTTCCCCAGAATTGATTCACCTGGACCCTTTTATAGTATTCAGTACATTTGTTTGACTTTTCACAATGGTGTTCAATTATTTTTCAAAACAAAAAGTTTTAAGGCTCAGCCTAGCTGTATTAGTATTTCACATGATTCTGGTTCACAGTTAAACATATGATTCTTTTTTCTTCTTCTGCAAAAGATAAACAGAGAGCCTCATTTGCAAGGGGCCAAGAAGAGGCTTTGTTGATCTGTGCGTTTTGTTCCTCTTGCTCTGTACAGTTTCCGTGGGTTATGAGTATGAGTCCTGCCCAGATCTGATTCTGTGGGAGAAAAGAACAGCAGTACTGCAGGGTTATGAAATTGATGCATCCAAGCTTGGAGGGTGGAGCCTGGACAAACATCATGCCCTCAACATCCAAAGTGGTGAGTGAAATAACGGAATTCCTTCAGCCAGGCTGGGTTGGGACCTTGTATCCCATCTGCTGATCCTCCAGACAAAAAAAACACACTGAATAACATGGGCACTTAAAAGGAAGGGGAAGTGGGGAAGGGAATAAATATGAGAAAAGAAAAAAACGGAAGCAAAGTCTTTGTACATAGCGAGGGGTGAAGGGGTTGAAGGGAGGGCAGGGAAATGGGGATAAAATAAGAATCAAGATATATCCTGTAAAGGTACGAGTTCCCAATAATGAATGTCAGCATATAGTATACCTAAAATGTACCAATAAACTTAATGAATAAAAAAATGTAATAATTTTAAAATGGGCTCCTAAGTTATCAACTAGTCAGAAGGCTGTCAACAAATAAGGCTTGAGTATATACCCTGAGTCTGTCACCACGCTAGGCACTGGGAGTGCAGAAGTGAGAGGCCTCAAGGTTTTATGTGGGCAGAGATAAATTCTCACCAGGCAATTTCAGTGCTGTGCCACGGGCCGTGTCCTGCTGGGCAAAGGTTGCGGGATACCACAGAAGCATAAGAGGCCCCTTGCTCAGTGTCCTGGTTCGTCAAGGTGACCCTAGGGGCAGAGGGATCTTAGAGGGGCTATAGGATTAGCCTTGGGTACCAAGGAAGGGGATCATTGTAGCAGACAGCCCGGTACACATCAAAGTGCTGAATCCAAGAAGGAGAGTAATAGGAGAGAAGATCCAGCTCGACTGCAGTAGAGAATGAGATGAAGGGAATCGTGGCCAAAGCCAGAGGAAGGACTTGAGCTGCTGGAGCCCAGGGTAAGCAGATTAGGACTCTGGACTGCATCCAGGGGCCTCTGACAGCTTTAAAGCACGCAGTGCCAGTGCCATGGTCACATCTGTACTTTAGATAACTCCATCTGATCATTCTCCACCGTGGGGCAACTAAACATGATGATGATGTCACATGTCTCCTGCCTAAAGGCAGTGAACGCCTGTTAAAGCCAAAGCAGGTTTGAAGAGGAAGTTGTCAAGCTAATTCTAAAATTTATGATAAAATAAAGGCTTTTAAATCACTGAGGCAGTCGTTGGAATAAGAACCCATAAAATGGAATCACCAGATACTATGTTAAATTAGAAAACTACAAAATCTAAACCTGTGCGGTACTAGCGCGGAGACAACAACTAGATTCCATGGGGCAGAGCAAGGAGTTTAGGAACTGACCTGTGAGCAGGAGTTAAAACTAGCTGTGGTCTTGAGGGTCAGAAAAGCCAAATTTCAGAATTGCAAACAGGTTAGAGTTGCTTTCTTGCTCACCTGCAAGCCTGGCAGTGGATAGTGCAGGGCTGCAGGGTCAGAAGCCAAGTTCCTCCTCTCTCCTTGGTACACTTAGGTCTTCTTTTCTCCAGGGTCATAGTCCAAGGTGACCACTTTGGCTCTAGCCTTTCCAACCAGCCAGAAGGAGGAAAGGGACAAGCAAGCCGCCCCCCATTATGAGTTCCCTGCTCTGCACAGCTGCCCATACCCTGGCTTATGTGGCACTGACCAGAACTTAGTCACAGATGGAGCTGCCCCCCGGGGTTGGGTGGTGGAGAGGTGGGACAGTAGGTTGTTCCAGGTAGTTATGTACCCAGCTAGATGTCAGGAGTTCTGTAGCTATAGACAAAGGAGAGGTTATACGGGAGAGGTGTCAGTGGTTAACTAGGAGTTTCTGTCACATAACATATATAAATAGAAACTTGGTATGTGGTAGATGTAGCATCACATTTCAGTGGAGAATGGTTGGGTGCTTTAGAAATTGACACAGAGGCTGGAGATTTAGCTCAGTGGCACCTCACCTGCCTCAAAAGTGCAAGGTCCTGAGTTCAATCCCTGGTGCCCAAAAAAAGAAAAGAAAAAAGAAATTGATACTGAATGTGGTTGGCTCAATATGTGGACAAAAAAACTACATTAAACACCTCTTCATGCCATATACAGGGTAAATTTAAATATTTTATAAACATCTAAATGTAAAAGAGAACAATTGAAAATTAATGGAAGGAAATATAGAAGAATAGCCTCTAAAATCTCAGGAAAGAATTTCCAAAAGCCTAGAAAAGCACAAAGTTTAAAGTGGAATTGATTAGACTACATAAAAAATTAAACAAATTCATTCAATAAAGGACAGCTTTTGCAAAGCTAAAAGGTGACAGCTGGAAGGAAGGTTTTTATGATCTATAAAAGCCAAAACCTACTCAGTAGGCTTTAATATGGAAGGCAGGATGCAGGGCCCAACTAGGACGCTATAGCAATATCAGGCAAGAAAAGATGATCTGGAATGAAAAGAAACAGCATCAATATGGAGGTAATTCACAAGTTATTGTGGTTAGTTGGCTCATTTTGTTGATGAGAAACTGAGGCCCTAGCACAGTAAAATCAGAAGAGAGCTCTCTGAAAGATCTGAGATCAACCCATTAGTAGGAAAACTGGGCAAAACCCCAGTCTCTCCACTCATCTCTGTAAGTATTTATTGGTATCTACTGTGTGTCAAGTTCTGTGGTAGGCACTGGGGACACAGAAAGGAAAAAGATAATGTCCATACCTGTGCTGGCATCAATCAAAAATGAGAAAAACAAGCAAGTGGATAGAGAGTCCATGCTGTCATAGAGATGGGGGCAGGCCACACGCAAAACACGCAGCCTATTGGAAAGGCAGGTGGCTGAATGGTCAAGTGCTGGACTCCGGGGCTGTCCTTTTCTTGTCTATGGAGGCTGAGCGATCTGCTTCACCTGTATCCTCTATTGCAAGAACGGTAATAACACTGCTGTCTTCTAGGATTTAAGTGAGAAGTAAATCATTTAAACAGTGTGGCCAGCTGAGATCATGGGGTGCGGGGGGTGGTTGAGGTTACGAGTCTGGAAGTTGTTGGCAAAGACCTCACATGCTTTGCAAAATCAAGGTGACAATGGTGACCACAAGAAAAGGGATCCCCTTCCTGGTCCCTTGGTGATTCTGTTCCTCTATCCTCATCCTAGGCATCCTGCACAAAGGGAATGGGGAGAACCAGTTTGTGTCTCAGCAGCCGCCTGTCATTGGCAGCATCATGGGCAATGGACGCCGGAGAAGCATCTCTTGCCCCAGCTGCAATGGCCTTGCTGATGGTAACAAGCTGCTGGCCCCTGTGGCCCTTACTTGTGGCTCTGATGGGAGCCTCTATGTGGGTGACTTCAACTACATCCGCAGGATCTTCCCCTCTGGAAATGTCACCAACATCCTGGAGCTGAGGTTTGTAACATGATGTCTCTTGTATTTCCTGATATGATCCCCTTGCCTTCAAAGGGCCCAGAGAAGTGGGACAAGATGAAGTTTGGCCTGCCATACTCTGGAACTCTTCACTTCCCGGCCACTCTTGGACAGGGAGATGTCCTTGGCACTGGGTGATGTGGAAGGCTCCTGGCCACTGAGAGTTAGACTCCCTGGAACCATTTAATCTTCTTTTTGCTTCATTAGCACTAAACAGATTAGACTTAGTCACGTGAGGGTCTTTTAATAGGAACAAGGAATGGCATAATGGGTGAGGGCCCTATGTCAGTGTCACCAAGTTTGGTCCTGCTATTTAACACTCAACAGAGTTAGCAGCAGTTCCCTTCACCTGGCCAATACTGTGCTAAAGCCCACAGGCTGACCTAGATTGATGCCTCTCTGTTCCCTGGTGCTGTAGAACCAGCTGGATCAGCCTTTGCCCCCTCCTTACCAGGAGTAATAGAGCACAGCCACACTTACAGCTCAGAGAATGGCTCAGTGTTTTACATTTCTCATCTGCTTCCCTGAGCCAAGTATTTTTAGAATCAAAACAACTGTCATAGGGTGGGTAGGTTCTGAGGAATGTGGAGAAGCTGCGCTTTAAAGACAGTGGAGTCTCAGGAAAAAGTGCACCCAGCTCCCTCAAAACTGTTTTAGGGAATGGGATCTACCTGTCTCCTGGGCTGAGATCCATGTGAGCAGGACAGACCCTTGAGCTAGAGAACCCTCCTTCAAAGTTGGCAGGGGAAAGGTTGGCTCCTACTGTTTGCCAAGTCCAACAGTTCTGTGAAGTGTTTATTATTATCCGCCTTTGATTGATGAACAAAAGGAGACTTGGAGAATTTAAAGAGCTTGTCCAAGGTCAAGCTTCTAGCATGGTGTACCAAAACCCGGAAGGCCATTACACAGCTATGTCTCACCAAAGAATTGTCACCAAACTTAGTGCCTTGTAAAGTTTAACTCAGTTAAAGAATCTGATTCTGCAGCACATGTAAAAGGAGGGCAAAGCTTGCTGGCTGCCTCACAGCCATCATTGCTCTAAAAGTGTAAGTGCCCCCCACCCTATACACACACACGCACACACACCATGCAAATGAGGGAAGCGTTATGCTGTATGCTCATGGGAAATCAAGTATCAGCCCATGTGAGAAGTGGGCCACCAATGGGATAGTCTCTGCCTGTCTTCTCTCTGTTATGAGGTTGACTGACAGGCATCCATCAAGGAAGAAAGAACCTTTGAGTATATTTGTTCCATTCTGCTGTAAATATACACTACAAGGGGAAAAGCCATGGACCAGGGGGTCAGCACACCTTGGCAGAGAACCTGTACAACTTTGGACAAAACAGTTAACCGGTTTCTCTGGGCCTCCTTTTCTACATCTTTCAGATAAGAGACCCCATATTCCCACAGTTGTTGGGGGGATCATGTATGATAGTAAGTAAGGAAAGGAGGAATAAAAGAAATTTGGAAAAAAAATTCCATTAATGTATTATCATTTTAATATCTCTTCCTTCAGTCTTTTCCCCTGTTCCTACTCCATGTTCTGCCCTCCCTTCTAATTATAGTATATCTCTAATTCAGCCTCCTATTCTGAGCAGACTCTTCTAGGTTCCTCGTGTTCTGATAACATTTTGCAGGGAAGCATGCAAAGATGCAGGACAGCAAGCCTCTCTCTCTCGGGGCGTGTGGCTGTATGGGAAAGAGAAGTGGCTGTCCCGATCCCTGTCTTAGCCCTTGTTACAGCAGCAGAATGTGTCATGCTAGTCTTCTTCCCCTGAGTCAGCAGTGGTGGTGCAGGTGAAACCATGGCTCTTCTGTGATATGTATCTGCTTGTAAGTGTCATAGCTGCTAAGTCTATATTTATTACAGTATTGCATAGTACCATTGCTGTCAAGTTTTCAGGCTGCTAATAATGCTTCTAACCCTGCTGCTAACACCTCATTCTTTCTTCTATTCCCTGCTCTCCTGTCTTCTGTCAGAAATAAAGATTTCAGACATAGGTAAGCAAACCAGTGGAGAATTTCCTGTCTCTCCCCTGCCCTGTTGCATGTTGTATGGTAAGCTGCACAAGTCAATTCCAGGTGGCTCAATGGCAAAAGAGCCCTGTGTGACTGGAACCAGTTGGGGATAATCAGTTTCAATGACAGGAAGATGTTAATAACAGTGTGGGTGGGGTCAAAGGCCTGAACTCTGACTCTGAAACAAAATCAGGCAGTTTCCCTGTGGTCTGTGGACTTGACTGAAGTAATAAAGAATTTTAATGCCACAGTCTGTTTTAATCCTTCGAATAAATGAGAACATCATCCAGACTGTGTTGGTCCTAGACTTAGAAGAAATTGTACAGCAATATCATGGGATGGTGAAATTCAGGCTTAACAAGCAGTACCTACCTGTAGACATCTCCAAATGCAAATCCAGACACAATCTCTACTAATTAAAATAGTAATTATGCCAACCCATGATGACATCCAATGTACAAATGGGAACACTGAAGCTCCCTGGTTAGACCCCACCCTGATTGTCTTGTTGTGAAAAGATTATGTCATCTTTCAGAGTTTTCATTTCTAACTTGAGGTTATTAAAATTTCCATTAGAGGATTGCTACAAGGATCACAAAGGGGATTTATAAAGTGTTCAACATTTTCAGGCACAAGGGAGAGCTCCAGAAATGGTTGTTTTAGTACTAATAACAACAATAACATAACATATATGGTATTATATTTTATCATAATTATTATAGGACAATGATTATATGTCTCCATTTCTCCCAAAAGAAAGTAATTAAATCCTGTTATACTAAAAGGCACATGTATTACAGTAAACAGAAATTGGGATTAAAAGTAAAAAAGAGGAAATGTATCTGTGATTATACCTCAAATTAGACTCTGAGCTTCATTGCTGCCACACAGAATAAATAGGAAAAATACAATTACTTTGATAGTTTGCATTACCAGAAATGGAAACTATATCTACTTCTCAGAGGAGAGGTATTTTTCCTCACAGTGAAACCTGAGCTCTTCTGTGATTTGCATGGATGTTCCTAAACTATGTATTGATGTGTAACCTCAACTTCAGTTTTTCAGCAAACACAGAAGTGCATTTCACATAAAGATCTTGGGTTAAAGTCTGGCATTTAATACTGAAACATCTGGTAGCTGCCTGGAACACAGCTGTGATATGAGTCAGCTCAGCTGGGAAAAGTCGCCTTGGGTTGGTCACCAAGTTTTCCTGGTTTCCAGCCTTATCATCTATAAATTGAAAGAGGTTATGGTTGGAGTATCTTTTGATTCTTTCAGTGACCTTTTGATATGTCTATGGGATGATTTTAAAACTGAGTTCCTTTCCTCTCTCAATTTATTGTCTCAGGTGCTAAAAACTTTCTCTAAAGTAAACTGAAGCAGGCTTCCAGTTTTCTAGAGATAATCCAGAGACAGAAACCCTGGGTTCAAGCTGTGATTTTAACTACAACCTGCAGATTAGCAAATCTCTTCCTCTCTCTGGGCCTTAGTATCCACCTTCAGTCATTATCAAGGTAGATTAAAGAAAGTCTAGAATCTTGTCCTCCATCCATTTGCTGTTTCTGCTGTTCCCAGTGATAGCAGTAGGATGGCCTTTTCCTGCAGGTGTGTTCTCCTGGGGCAGGCTCCTCTCTGCATGTAGCTTTCTCAGTTTCAGCGCTAACCACCATGCTGAACAGCCCAGTACAGAGGCTTGTGGTCCTTTGGATCCTACAGGGAGCAAGCATCCTTACCTCTTCCAGATCTCACCCCTAGGATCAAGGATGAATGTTGAAGCCTGTTCTTAGACATGCACTTGAACTACCGTATCCCTCAAACCTAGCTCTCCATATTATATTAGCCCTTATATTACAGAGCCCTTAACTACAGGACATAGGTTGGACAGGACAATATTATTATCCCATTTATTTAGCTCTTTCATTATGCACTGACATAAATAATCAAGGTAACTAGCTTTGCTTAAAAAGTACTGGGCATTTCGTGTTTTCATAGAACTGCCACTGTGCACAGAGATTTGCATTCTTCATGCAGTTTCTGTTATCAAAATAACCATTTGAAATGAGTGTGCTCATCTCCATTTCTTAGATTTTAAAAAATTGAGGTTCAGAGTAACTGAGTAATTTGTCAGAACTCACTTAATCAAGGGAATGGGGGAACTGGCTTGTCTGTGTAGCTCCAACACTCAAGCTCTTCCCACTGGTTCTGAGGTCAGATTCTTCCAGGGCTGCTACCTGATGAGGCTGAACTGTGCGCCTTGAACAAGGCAGACCTTAGTCTAGGAGGAAAAGGAGAATTCTCACTCAGAATAGATCATTTTTTTGTCTCTAACAATCCTGGCCCCTACCTCCTACTAGGGACATCCCACAGAGCAGGTAAGGTGATGCTGGACTTCAGCTCATTAACCTCAGAATGGTACCCTGCAGGCCTCTAAGATTTTATGTCACATCCAGAGGGACCAATGTTATGTTTGAAGAGCTGGGAAAGCATGCAAGCCCTCAGGAAATAGGGCTATGATCAGATTCTGTGCTCGTGTGACTCAGAATCCAAATGAGATCAGACATGGTCTTGAGGACCAGAAATGTTCCCTGCCCACAGAACCAGGCATGGAGTCTCATCTGTAGATCATCTCCCATTGCATGATCTAAAGATATTTCTGGTTTGCAGAGTATTCTGAGTCCTTGCTAGTCAAAGTTTAAACTAGCGACATTGGCATGCTCTGGGAACTAGTCAGAAATGCAGGCTTTGAAGTTCTGCACCCCAGAACTACTAAACTTAAATCAGGGCTTTAACAAAATCTCCAGGTGGTTCATATGCACATTAAAGTTTGAAAGGCACTGCACAAAGGCCACAGTTTCCAAGTTTGGCTGCGCCTCAGAGACCCCAGGAGAGCTCACAGAGGTAGATGTGTGCATTTTTCTCAAGCTTTTCAGGTGATTCTGATGTATAGAACCATCAATCTCAG